TTCCCACTTGGGTACAATGTGCGAAGCCCATTTTGGGGGCTTGATATTGCTGGAATATTGCTAAAATCGGCGTAAAACCATACTCACTCACTCATTCACTTACATACATAATAGTGTAAACTCTAAACGTTGAACATAAAGATACATAATGCCCTCGAGAAAACCATCGTAATCCTGAAGAGGAACCTCCTCGTAGTGGGTGCTGGATAATGCTAATTGCTTTTCCCTCGTGGACACCCGAGAAAGAATAAGTGCTCAGCTCCCTATTGTTGGTCGGAAAAGGCGACCAAATACGGCCACCTGTCAACCGTTGGATGTCGTCCCTGGTGTAGGCAGATATGGAGTGTGGTCGTTGAGGATACCGGAACTGGCAATAATCCAACACACTTTGCCTTGATCGGTGATAGAATAGGCCCAATTCTATCAATCGGCTGGTCACGTCATGGCTTGTGCATGGAATGTTTACACAGATTGTGATTTTTAAAAAACACTTTTGGTTTTATCTTTCAGTGGCATTTAGAACTTGTACATAGATATTCAAGATATTTTTTCACCTGATGAAGGGACCTGGAATGGACCCGAAACGTCGTGAGGGAAATATAAAAGAAGTTTAATCCACAAAAATATCTTGGACACTTTTGGTTTTGTTCAAACTGTTAGAGATGTTTCTGTCAAAATGTGAATTGGCTTATGTAGTAACTTGAAGAAAATACCTCGCGGTATGTAACACACGACTCACGTCGTCAATGGCGCTTGTATAACTCGTGTATTTAGGGAAAGTTCCTCTCACCACCTTGAGCGTTAATATTTTCCTTCGACATAACACTCCTCCCACCTATACAAGAAGTTAAAGCATGCAATGGTGCATACAATTAAGAGTCCAGAGTACATGGTGTATATGAAGATCCTAGTTAACAACATTAATCCTTTTCTTATTTTGCACAACTTTTAAGTCCCTGATAGAATATTTACACTGATCCGAAGCACGCCTCTTTATCTTATTAAACAAACGTTTTGAGAAGATAAGGTCTGCTTCAAAATCTGAACAGAGCGTTCTGTCACACCATTTGATGTTGGGTGATAAGCAGGGACTCTCGTATGTTTCACGCCGTTCTGATGCAGAAAATCTGTACACTCAGTTACAATAAAATGCGGGCCGTTGTCCGAGACAATTTCCTCTGGGAACCAATATGCTGCAAACGTTTGCTGTGCAGTAGTTGATGATGCCATGTGACAAACTTCTATCCATTTACTGTGGGAATCGACTACAAAGTCTATATATAACCTTTGCCACACTCGAGTAGGCCAACGCCAATGATGCAGTGGGGCTACAGGGGCTTGATTCTTTTGGCTCAGACAAGTAGTACAGTTTCCAACCAGTCTTTCAATGTCTGAATCTAGACAAGACCACCATAGATGGCCTCTTGCATAAGTCTTGGTGCGTGGCATTCCCAAGTGTTCAGCATGTAACTCAGACAACAGTGAACGCGGAATCACCACCCTATTCCCCACAAAATACAGCTACTCTCAACTGTCAGCTCGTCTCTTCGACTAAAGAATGGCTTAATTTCTTCATCCTGATTGGTGAGAGGCCAACCTGAACAAACAGAATCCAGAACTCTTAACATTACTGGATCCTTCCTTGTAGCTTCTGCTACACCTAATGCAGTAACTGGCAAATCCTCAAACACTGAGAACTGATACATATCTGCTTCCAGTGACTGCTTATCACCTAGGTTGGGCAGTCGAGACAGGCAACAGCATTGGCATTCTCCTCAGATCTTCTGTACTGAATGGTATACTGATAGGCAGAAAGTAACATGGCCTGTCGTTGCATTCTTGCAGCTGCCATAGCCGGAACACCTGATTTTGGACCTATAATGAGGGGCTTGTGATCAGTCACCAGTGTAAAAGTCCTCCAAAACAGATACTTGTGGAACTTCATAATTTCAAAGATTATAGCCAATGCCTATGTCTTTGAAGCAAATGCAATCGGACGATGTGTTCCATCCTGCATGAGACAGAATTGCACCTACTCCACAAGGTGAAGCATCACATTCTAAGCAGACAGGTTGTGAAGATCATAACGTGGCAACAATCTGCCAGTCATCAGATGTTTCTTGCAGTCTTTAAATGCGAACTGACATATGTTCGACCATAACCATGGCTTTTCTTCTTCAGTAACTTGTACAGAGGTGCCAGTTTTGTTGAAACGTTTTCCAAGAAACTACCATAGTAATTAACTAGACCTAACCATGATCTGAGTTCGTTAACATTACTTGGAAGCGGGGCATCCGTGATGGCCGAGACCTTATCTTCAGTTGGGTAGATGCCATCCTTATCCACCTTGAATCATAGGTAAGTAACACTAGGCACTTTGAACTCACATTTTGACCACTTGAGTTAAAAATCATAGCTTTAAAGGCGAGTCATGACTTCATCTAGAATACGATCATGGTCAGCCTCATCAGTGACCCGTATCAGGATATCGTCCAAATAACACAACTCAATACCCTGTAAAATATGGTCTTTTGGAAAATGACAGGTGCAGTGACAACTCCATACATCAGTCTCTTGACTTTGTACAAACCACGGGCTGTATTGATTGTAAGGAATACCTGTGCATCAGGGTCTAACTCAAGCTGTTGGTAAGCATGTAAAAGGTCCAATTTTGTAAACACCATGCCACCTGTCAACAGCTAACAGATCACTGATATTTGGTAAAGGATATACCTCTTCTTCAAGTTGAGGATTAACAAGAATCTTGTAGTCACCACAAATCTTAAATGCATTATCGCGTTTTGGTTCCACAACAAGTGGTGAACCCCAGTCACTTTTGTCAACTGGTTCCAAAATACCATACTGTACCAAGCGGCCCACTTCCTTGTAGAAATGCGTCTTTCACCGCATGTGGTAAGTTCCTAGCTTTTGCTACAGACGGGTTTGCATTTTCCTTAAGGCTTACGCCAGCCTTAAACAACTTGATTGGTGATCCAGTCTGTTTTGACTTTGTCAGCACTTTGAAGAGGCGGGGCATTGAATCACTTTCGTGTGAAGCGCAACAGCTCTTCAAGGTTAGAAGGAAAGAACAATTATGTGAGTAGAATAGTGAGTTGCTAAAAAATATGACAGAGTGAATTCTAAGATGCCTAGCGGTTAGAACAATCGAAAAAAAACAACATTATCAGACAATAAAGGTATAGTTTTTTGATGACGTAACAATTGAATGACGTTATCACCGTCACTGCGCCATTCTAGTGTGCCCCCTCGTAATCGAACCATTTTACATTACGTCACAATGTAAGCGACGTCACGATGCATGTCAGTTGGCATCGCCTCGTACAGCCTCCTACAGTAAACTACTGCGTTGTATCCCGTTTCTTGGTTTGCAGTTGCTTCACTCACCTAACATCACTGGTGGAAACATTACGTTTATGTTTTCTGACTTTTTTAAATGTCTCAATTCGACTCGCAAGTTTTCAGCGACACGGTCACGTTCGCAATGTTTACATTCCCACAATGCAATCGTGGAATGTCGCTTGACTACTCAGCTTCGTCTGGATGTACTGATCTAAACATACGTTGGTAGTAGAAATGCGACGTTCACATGGTTTACGTTAATCACAGATGTAATTAAAATACTTTAGAGAAGATATTTAATCCGAACGTAAACCGTCATGAAACTGTTTATCATTTGTTTTTCTGGTAACGTTCGTCTTAACGTAGGGGGGGCAGACACATCAATAGAACAGCGCGCCAGTTAGCCCTGTGCGAGGATTCTTAATCTAGGTCACCGACACCGCCGTTTGTTTTCTGCCTTAAATTAATCGTAATTATCCTTAGAAAGTATTAAATTTGGCATCTTGGCAAGCGTCCTCGTGCTTTAACTATAATAGTTCAGGGCAAAAGTGTGTTTTATTACACTATACATGGTGGTAGAGCGAACTGTATTTCTTAAATAACAGTTTATTTCTGAACTTTGAGAACATTATCTGTTTAACGTTTCGTTACAACATATTTTTTTATTCACTTGTAAGGGGGCATAGTGGTATTTTAGTCATTTTGACATGAATCCTTTTAAGCATCATGTGTCCTTTAGTAAACGTGAAAATGTAATAAATAATTCATGCTCTATTCACGTTGTTGATAATCACAAGTGATAGTTTAATTTGACCTAAATGTGGAACTAGGCAAGCAAACACAAAATTAATATTTCATGGTAAAACATCCATTTGGCATTAACGTATTTAGGTGGCTCATGTTTAAAGTCGTAAAGTCGTATGTTAAATCATATATTTATTTAAAAGATTATGATGAAATTTTTTGCCGATATCTTAACTGAAAAACATTTCAACTTATCGAACATTTGAAAAGGAAAGGTAGTCACAAGTATTAATCATGATTTAAAGATTCAGTAAAATGACTTGTTGATATTACATAATTTACTAGTAATTTACTAGTAATTTAAATGTGATTGTTGATAAAGTAAGCGAAATTAGCCTATTTTAGCATAGAGACGCGCTGACATATACATGTGCATACGTGTGCATGTATATCACAGTAACATGGTGGTATGAATGTTGTCTGTTTGGTAACCTAATATTGGGCACCGAGTGTTTCAGTGCCACATCATTCCTTTCTAAAATATGCGTGGATTAAACGTGACTTACCTGTAAGTAGAAGGTTGATCTAGATTATATGATATCATCAAGAGTAAGAGGGACCACAGGAGATAGCGAAGGGAACCCCGGAGTCCATGATGTCGTTGAGACAAAAAACTTTTACTGAGGTTGAACTTAGCGAGTAGAAGGAGTCGCGTGATAGAGAACTGATGAGTAATGAAAGCCTGAATACACTGGGTGGGTGTTTACCGTGATTCAACCAATCACTACCTTGATCGTGATCACGTGAAATGTTTAATGTGCAGGGTTTCAAACTATAACAAAAACACGCAGTTTATACCACAGGGTTTTCATTCTGAAAGACGCAAACATACTCACAGGGATCAGAGGACAGTTCTGACATCATTTACATCCATAACAAGACCTTAAGACTGAGCATTCGAGAAACAGGTACCTGCCTAACTGTTACTTTCCAACAAAATTGCAAATGAATTATCAGTAACAGACTCGATATATACGTCACTAAGCTGCTGTGGGGAGTATTGCGCAATGGCTTGGTTTGGTTTCGTTTCATCTCTCGACACGACACGCTCGATTGCTCCGCTATGTAGGACAAACATAGCCCATTGTACACAGGCACGACCTTCACCAAGCGGTATAGTGTCTTTTGTCACGACATGTAGCAGCCGGTTAGCAACTGATATGTAGACATAAATGAACACATGTCTCTCAGTGGAAAAAAAGCGTGTGGTTTTCAGTTATAAAGTCATTCTCCCTGGCACAGGTTTTACCGCCTTGTCTGAACATACACACATCTTAAGTTATTCAGGTTTATTCAGCGCCTTGAGCATGCACTAGTTGCCTGGATATGTGCGCTATATAAATACCCTATAATAATAATAATAATAATAATCATTGAATTTTCTGTCCCTTTTGACACCAATGTGATTGGCAAAATTCAGGAAAAGCATGATAAATATGCGGACCTCGCCTTTGAAATGTCTCGCTTGCATCCCAAGTACACTGTCGCCAGGCTCCCCATTGTTCTCGGTGCCCTTGGTTTGGTACCTCCTGATCTCTTGGCGCAGATCAGGAGAGTGCCCGGGTTCTCCACCGGGAGTACAGCCCTTCTGACACTCTGGGTAATGCAGAAGGCTGCAGTGTTGGGGAGCCTTCATATTCTCCGGAAAGTTCTTGGTGGGTTCGACTAGGCAGCGTTTCCTGGGAGAAGTCCCATTCGCTGTCTGGGCTGCGTGTAGAGGGGGCAAGGGCCCTGAGCTGATGATGAGCCTTACCAGCCTGACTGTGCCAGGATCACCCGAACCCTCTCTGCTGCATACAATCTTTAATCTGTAAAACATAATAATAATAATAATAATAATAAGCCAATGAATTTATATATCATACAATTTTCTGTCCCTTTTGACACCAATGTGATTGGCAAGATTCAGGAAAAGCATGATAAATATGCGGAACTCGCCTTTGAAATGTCTCGCTTGCATCCTAAGTACACTGTCGCCAGGCTCCCCATTGTTCTCGGTGCCCTTGGTTTGGTACCTCCTGATCTCTTGGCGCAGATCAGGAGAGTGCCCGGGTTCTCCACCGGGAGTACAGCCCTTCTGACACTCTGGGTAATGCAGAAGGCTGCAGTGTTGGGGAGCCTTCATATTCTCCGGAAAGTTCTTGGTGGGTTCGACTAGGCAGTGATTCCTGGGAGAAGTCCCATTCGCTGTCTGGGCTGCGTGTAGAGGGGGCAAGGACCCTGAGCTGATGATGAGCCTTACCAGCCTGACTGTGCCAGGATCACCCGAACCCTCTCTGCTGCATACAATCCTTAATCTGTAAAACATAATAATTTTAAAATATAGTTGCAGGCAACGATGAGGTCTCCTTGGCTTTACTTTCTATCTATTGAATCTGAGGGCTAGATATCATCGTCCAAAACGGAGCCAGAACACGTGTTTTGACAGGCGAGCGGATTTTCCAAATACAGCCGGGGTCACGGGGGTCATGTAAGTAGTTCCGGAGAAGAAAGAGTTCCCTCTTTAAAAGGCTGTGTCTCAGTTGTTCTTGGGTCTACATTCAAAACAATTAGTGTTCTGGAATCACCAGGCCACCATCTACCATACTGGCATCTACCATTTTGGGAGCAAACTACTCAGAAAAGTGCTGAAAAACAAGGCCAAAAACTGAAAACAAAAAAAACTGCCAAACGGTACGTTTTAGCGACTTGACCCGTCCTTGCAAAATTGTTGGGAATTCGATTGTGCATCTGTACAAGAAATTTGGAAGTGTTGGAACAAGTAGTTCTTAAGATATTTGCTGTCAAACGTTGAATTTTGGAATTAATTTTGATTACAAAATTAAACGAGACTTACCTGTAAGGTGAAGTTTGAGTGTAATTCCATGAACCATCTTCCTGACTTAAGGGTTACGTGTAGCATTCCCTGATAATCTGAAGAGAGTTAGTTTCAATTTCCTCCTCAACGGATGCAGCAAGGTTGGTTCTGTTGGTAGATGTAGCAGTCGATTCCTCACAGGTAGAATCAGAGGATAGTCTACTGTTAGTCTCAGTAGCTTGGTAAACCACACTTGTGTTGGCCACATCGGAGCTATGAGTGTCACATCTGCTTTGTCCTGCTCGATCTTTTTCAGATAGGATGATGCTGAAAGGAGGGAAACAATAATTGTTGTGAGAACTCCAGTTAACAGTAAAACAATCTACTGCTGAGGCACCGGGGTCAGGGCGCCATGAAACATAGTTATGAAGTTTATGATTAAGTCGAGAAGCACACAAATCACGTTGTATATCTGGGAACTTCTTTCTAATCTCAATAAACACATCATCAGCAAGTGAACATTCTTTTTCTTGCCAATTAGTATCACGTGACTCGCGATCAGCGACCGTATTTTCAGCTCCCGGGAGATAGCAGCAGAAACCCAAATGTTTCTCTCAATACACCAATCCCAAAGTGACCTGACCTGCAAATAACAGTCCAGTTTGTTGCCCCCTTGTTTATTGATATAGGCTACGGCGGTAGTGTTGTCGATTAACACCCTTACGTGTGCATCTCTTAATGAGGCACAATAAGACTGGATAGTCAGCTTGGCGGCCCGAATCTCAAGGCAATTAATGTGTGACTTTTTCTCCAGCGCTGACCATCCTCCTCCCGTGGACTGGGCCCCCCAGGCACCACCCCAACTTGTCAGGGAAGCGTCTGATGTGAGCACGACATCTGGGTCGGGAGTGAACACGGGTTTAGCCATGTTACGTAAGTTTTGTATCCACCAGCTGAGTTCCGAGAGAAAGACAGCTGGAACCTGCACAACTGCATTAAAATTGCCCTTGCTCAACGACAATAACGTGTTCTGTTCTATCTCCAACCGTTTATAATGCAGCACAGCAAACTTCATACCTGGTTCCGAGGCAACGAATTTACCAATCAAGGGGGCCAGTTCTCTAATAGAGACAGTGTTCTTTTTAGTCAATTCCACACGGCATTTTTTTATTTTCCCCGTTTTTCCTCAGTCAAACTAACTGTCATATGTAACATATGTTATATTTGGGATTACACTTTCTTAGTGAAGTACAAATTCTAGTACTTTTTTTAGTTGAGCCCCATCCGGGATTCGAACTCACACCCTCAGAGTCAGGCACCTAATCGCCAGCACACAAAGTCAGACGCCTAACCCACTCAGCTACCGCGACTTCCACAAAAATGGAAGTCGGACAACTGGTAGTCTAGACTGCGGGCTTTGTGTACCCCTCTGATAGGTGTTAATTGGCACGGTTCCCACGACCAAAAGCTATGATTACACAATGCCATTTAGAAAGTGGAAAATATTTGACCAAATTTGCTATACTGCCCCTCCATATCATGTAGATCTCTAAGTGCATTTTGGGGGGTCTAACTTACAATTTTATTTTATTTTTTCTGTTTCAATGGCAACAAAGTTGGACTTGGCCTTTTTGAAAGGTAAGGTTTGTGTTCGGACCATAACTCTAAAACCACTTCACCCATCTTCACCAAATGTTGTATACTTAAGACTTAAACAAACATAATTACATACTATCAAAAATTCGTATTTTCATACTTAGAGATTTTGAAATTGAAGGAATCAAATGAATTGTTTGAGGTCCCAAACTGTGTATTTTTGGGAAGGGGGAGACATCTGTTTTTACGAATAAAATCACTTTCTAGTTAACGTTCAGATACACTCATGTTTGTTACTGTATAAGAGAAACCTGGATATCACCACTTTAACGTGAATAAAACGTTAGTAATGCCGAACAAAGTTTTATAGTATGTAATTCAAGAACATTTTAGAAAGTATATGAATATACTTGTGTTGTAGTCACTCCGCTGCTGCTAGGTGGGGTCACACAGGTGATTGCAGGGACCACACGTGCAGTAGAGGTCTCAAGTCGGATGGACTGAGATGACGGTGGTGGTCAGTTTGATGAACTGAGTGATCAAAGGGGGAAATGATGGACTGTCGCTTTACTGAAGTGCTGTGCTATCACGACGATTATTGCACTGGGCTGGTGAATTGGACACCTCTGCAGACAGTGAACTGAAATTGTGTCTTAATGATAAACTAAAATTGTGTTAGTTATATAATTTATTAAAAAGGAAGCATCAAAATATATTTGTCATGAAATAGGTGTGTGTGTGTGTGTGTGTGTGCGAGTGCGGTGCGATTGTTGTGACAAATATGAGGGTATATACATAGAGGGGTTTAAATAAATTGTTCTTGTAATCCTTGTTCTGTTGTTCTGGTTTGTGACAGGAACATTCAATGCCAAGCACCAGCTCACGAACGGCATTTACAGTTAGCGTTCAAACGAATGGCATTTACGGTTAGCGTTTTGCCCTGATATAAATCCACACATAAATTGTATTTTCTTTGCGTCTACTTTATGAAACGTCACATTTAAATTACTAATACTGTCAGCAAGCGTTTGCAAAACATGTAATATCAGTGTCATTCTCCCCAATCTTTCAATCACAATTTATCAGTCTACTTTTTCATATATGCAGTGACAATGTAAAAAGTGCAATCTATCTATACGTGGTAAACATTCAGATGTTTTCAGCATCCCCTCTGAGATCTTAGAGGATATGTGGGTGTTTCGTAAACATACCTACACAATAAATATCTTGTTTTTAAACCCTTTATAGCAGCCTTGGCCTACATGTCATTTTGCAATTTAAAATGTGAGCGAGTTGTAACTCGTAAACAACAGACGTTAGAGACATACAATCTGGGTAGTGTTTGTGTGGCTTTTCTTGTTGCTCGTGAAGCTGAACCGTAATGAAAAGGATCGCCACAATAGTCCCTGTTAGGATATGCAGTCCTATTATTCTTTAACATTCAGCAGTTAACAAAACCAAGATGACTGCTCGCTTTCAAAGGATCAGGGATGAAACGCAAACAGTGATGACATGGAGGCTCGGGGAAAGTCAAGGTCACCAAGCCCCACTAGTGAGACACGCACACAC